ACACTCTTGTAGGACACTCTTGTGGGGCAATCTTGTAGGACACTCTTGTGGGACACTCTTGTAGGACACTCTTGTGGGACACTCTTGTAGGACACTCTTCTGGGACACTCTTGTAGGACACTCTTGTGGGACAATCTTGTAGGACACTCTTGTGGGACACTCTTGTAGGACACTCTTGTAGGAAACTCTTGTGGGACACTCTTGTAGGACACTCTTGTGGGACACTCTTGAAGGACACTCTTGTGGGACACTCTTCTGGGACACTCTTGTAGGACACTCTTGTAGGACACTCTTTTGCGACACTCTTGTAGGTGGGACACTCTTGTGGTGGGACACTCTTGTAGGACGCTCTTGTAGGACACTCTTGTAGGACACTCTTGTGAGACACTCTTGTGACACTCTTGTAGGACACTCCGCGCACTAAAGTTGTACTACAAAGTCGCCAGTTCTCAGCTTCCAGCTCACACGTCAAGTCTCCAAAAAGAGCATTTCGTACGAGACTTCCTCAAAAACTCACACGTCAAGTCTCCAAAACGAGCGTTTGGTACGAGACTTCCTCAAAAACTCACAGGTCAAGTCTCCAAAAAGAGCATTTCGTACGAGACTTCCTCCAAAACTCACACGTCAAGTCTCCAAAACGAGCGTTTCGTACGAGACTTCCTCAAAAAGTCACACGTCAAGTCTCCAAAACAAGCGTTTCGAACGAGACTTCCTCAAAAACTCACACGTCAAAGTCTGCAAAACGAGCGTTTCGTACGAGACTTCCTCCAAAAGTCAAGCGGAAACACCCATCGGAGCACACACATCACGCAGCCCTGCCAAGCAGTTTCGCGATTCCAGCTCCTCCAAACAACACCCACTCACACGCCAATCCCAATGTGACAGCGACGTTCACCTCTACCACAATTCACAACCTCACGATTCCCTGCGCCTGCCACGAATCTTTCCCCATCCACACGTCTAACGCGCACAAAGTCCTGCGCCTGCCACGAGATTTCACCTCCCTGACACCTCGCAACCTCACGATTCCCTGCGCCTGCCACGAGAATCGCACTTCCACGCCTCAAAAACCGCAGGAAGTCCTGCGCCTGCCACGAAAAGTGACAATATCATCTCATGTGAGCTTCAACAAAATTTGCACCACACCACACGTTTGGAATGATTTCGATCCGTTCTGAGCACACTCCCATCCACCAAAATCGCCATTTCAGCTGAGACTTGTCACGAAAACCGAGCTTCCACGCCACACCCTGAAACGCAAATCCCAATGGCACGGCCACATCCAACACCCCAAAAACACGACTCTCCAAACGCTAATCCCAATGGAACTGCGCGGCAAACTGCGGATCTCACAAAACGCTGCACCTGTGCAGCGAAACGCATCACGTCTCTTGCGCGACATGTCGGTGTCATGCAAATCACAATGGAATAGCGGCGCAAACTGACACGTGACACATCCATGAAAAGTCACTTGCAAAAGCTTCCCCCAATGGCAGCAAATTTGAGACGCGACGACGACGACAAACGACGACACGACGCACGCCACGCGAACACAGCTCCAACCCCCAGACCCCCAACTATAAACGGGAACCCTTCGCTACGCATTCGGGAAAAAACATTATTGCAACACTGGCTAGTAAAGTCCATATAGATACAACAACCTGTGGATAAACAAACACCTCTTGGATAAAAGTAGAACACATGGGGTAAATACTGTATGAAAATCTGATGTCCACATAATGTAACATGTCATTGGGAAAAATTCACACGATAACATGTTAAACAACAAAATCAACTGGGTCCACTGTGGCCTGAGAGCTAACTTTTATATTGATTACCAGCAATGTATCAACATAAAAATGTGCAGTACTCATCTCCCAGTCACCGCAGCTGCAGCTTCAGCAGCCCTTCTCTGCTGATCATGAAAGGCTGCAGCGCGTCTCTGGGACTCAGTCAATGGTTTGATCCATGGACAATGGTTGTTACTGCTTGTGACAGTTCAAGTTTCACACAGGCTTCAGCTTCCTCTCAA